TATATTATTATTATTTACTTGCTCTTCATACATTCTGTCCTAACTATGATTAAACAGAGAAGAAATATATATAATAAGAAAATAGAAGCATAAAATAGCATGTTTGTTTGTGTGCTCCGGATGAACTTTTATGCAAATGTAACCTTGAACATATTTAAATATTTTGTAAGCCTGTTATACAGCGTAATTTAAAGTCCTTTTTATTGCAGCTTGATCGGAATTATTGTTTGTGCTGTTCAACCTACAATGTGCAGTTTTCCGATGTCCCACAATGCACCTGGCTTTCTTACAAGCTGGAGTAAATGCAGCATATGGAGAAAGCCAAACGGTGTTTTCATTCCCTTTAAAAAGTGATTTGCCAATAAATAGCAGATCTACAACCATGCTCCGGTAAAAGGCTTAAGCTTTATGACTACAATGTATAAAACACACATTCACACATAAGACAAACACACACACACACACACACTGAGAGGAACGGTTGGGAGAGAATGCTGGATTTGACCAGTGACACACATGCACAAACAGGGCTTGATCCAACCTGAGTGGAGAGAACTTACGTGGGATGGTCACACTGAAGTGCTGGGGGTCTGAGATCAACAGTTTCCTCTTGAGCTCATTCAGGCCGACGCCTGCGGGTCCTGCACAAACACAGACACATCGGTAATGTGACGGATGTCCCACAATCCATCACTACCTTCTCTCACAGAGAACGTGGTGCAATAAATGCCACCAATACAGGCTCTACAAGGGATGTTTTTATGTAGCTATGATCACATAAATACACTAACAGATTTATCACGTAGCATCAAAATGAACATAGCAACATATTAAAGGTGCTCTCCAGCCCAGCAATTAAGTATTGCACCTCCATAAAGCTGTGGGACTCAAAAGAGACAAAAAGGACACTAAAAAAAGAAAAACAATGGTTGAAATTGGGGCAGCAGAGGCCAATATATCCTCACTCTTCGTCCCTCGTTTATGGGTCAACCTCTACAAACACTGGATCCTACATTTCCCATAATGCAACTCTCCCATCTGTGTATCAAGACCCTCGCTGCCTCGCACACAACCACATCTTTTAAACTCTAAGACCCCAGGCTTTCTTTTATCAATATGTAGTCTCAAGCCCCAGTCTATACGGTTACCCCGATGACATCATCAGTTGGACATTTTCAATGGGTGGGGTGTCCCTTTAAATAAAAGTAAACATTACAACAGTAAGCCTGCTCCTGATCCACTGTGATATATTACTGGTATAAGTATTACTATGAGAGCTGTAGTTACATATCTGGAACGATTTTATTTCATATTGCACTATATTTACTCATTATACTTCTATATACTATGTGAAAAGTTCTTATTTTTTTACAACTTTCTTTTTAAGATAATATCCTAATTTTCTTTAAATCATTTATTATTTTATTCAAATAGTTCTCTATCTGTTTTCCTATCTCTTGCTGCTGCGATGTGTATTTTCACTCTGCGATTAATAAACAGATAAACAGATTATTTTTCTAAGAAATATTCTTTTAGGTTTTGTGTTATGTAATATTAAATCAATTTACCACAGAGTAAATTTAACTCCGTATTCTATTAAAACACAATCAACCCAGTAAAAACCTTTGGAGCAAAGAGAATTGAGCTGATGTGAAAAAGCAAGTTACTACAGTTACAGGTCATTCTACAGTTACAGGTTCATTTTTAACAAGGTAGTCTCTACACTACACCTCCATCATAGGTACACAGTAGAGGTATCTAGTAGAGGAAGAAAAGCTTTTTTCCAGTATTGTTGAAAGACTTACCATCACATCCCCAGTGGGGAAACTGAGGCAATGAGTTAGAAAGAGGGAAGGCAGGAGAGGTTATTGGAGTATTGACGATTGATTCATCTGTGGAACTTTGATATTAAGGAACACAAAAAAAAAAGATGGCAAACCTCACACTCGTGAATCAATATCCACATGTTTTCTCTTCTATTTTAAGTTCTCCCTCCGTCTCTACTCTCCATCTGTGAAAGACAGAATCTCGGGTGTTTCGGTGGGTGTTACACTGGTGCTACATCACTCTAATTCAAACCGACTGGCATCGATGTCTTCAGCGGACTGGACAAGAATATCAGTTTTGGAGCAACAAGTGGCGTGGGCTTGGCGTTTTTCGGTGTTCAGAGAGACAGTTAAGAGAGACGGTGCTCGGTTCGGGCTCGGGATTCCTCGCATGCCTGACGTTCTGGGCAGGCACTACAATCGCGTCAAAACCCCGTTGGAAATTCGTTTCTCCAGGCAAATGTGTTTAGCAGGCCGCTCCTCTAAAACAAACGGACAATGAGTTCACTCAGCGAGGCGGATTAGGCGGAAAGCGAGGGAGAGGGAGAAAATATTGAAAAGGACGAGCTCTGTATTTCTAAGAGAAAGAGGGCTCCTGTTTCCTCTCGTGCTATCTGCACTTCTCCTCCACATCTCATCTGGTGTGAAGCACGAAAGCCAGCAGGAGTGATCCACAACCTGATAAATAGGTGTGGACAACGAGGCTCTTTTAAGCGTAATCTCCGAACCCTGGCAGCCTTCACACGCGGACAAATTCACACCCCGCGCTTTTCGCTTTACCTCTTGCACCCGACAACACATGGTCTGGGTCCCATTGTGCGACTGCTGTAAGCGATAAAAGCTGTTTCCTCGACGCGCTCGCACTGTGAATTCAAAAAGAGAGAGAAAAATACCCAGGCCCTTTTTGGAGCGACGGCGCGAAGTATTCTGCGGTTACCGTCGCTCATAAACAAACACATGGCCAAGCGCAGACAGCAATCAATCTTAGGTGGGGAGAAGGAGTTTTTCAGTGAGGGGGAAAAAAAAAAAATCCACCAACAGAGTACCTGGGGGCTGAGAGCTTGGGTGATTTATTAAGATGAGGAAATGGAGTTCATTTTGTATTTGTTTCGGGAGCGCGGGAGGAATGCGGCGGGTGCTGTTTGAGGGCCCGATGTTGTTGTAGAAGCTGAAGGTGGCAGAGCGTGGCAACAAGAGGCTCTTTTATGGGCCCTATCGCGGCGGTGCAGACGGCCCATCCCGCCGGGCCTCAAGCCTCCACACAGGCTTGTTTGCTTGAATCCGAACGCAGATGTCAGGGCCCCCGCGACGCGGAGAGGAGCCAACGGGGGCCGTTTCGGGCTACCCTCGGTGCGAATAACGGGCCCCCACTTCTGCGCGCTCGTAAAACAATTTTCACCTTGTGCGTCGCTGACTTGCTCGCCACTTGTGATATCAATGATGCATGGCAGCAGGCCTTCATCAGAATACCTTAAATGGCGATTAAAGCTTATTCCAGCTGTGCCACCGCCTGCCAAGGGGGCCCACCACCGGGTCTTTTACAAGCAGAAGCTGTGCCCTGTGGTCCCGTTCCACCGTCTGATCTTAAACACGCCACCTCTTTGTGCATTGTTTGTCTTTTACAATGCCCCAAAACAACAGCAACATTATAAATCGAAACGCCACAATAAAAAAAATAAAATAAACATTTTCTGGGCAAAGCTGGCGTATTCTTGTTGTGTTTATGTGTTTCCCTCCTCGTTTGTCTCTCTCGCTGGCCCTCTTGCGGTACTCCTGGCCTTGCACGTTGCCGTGCCTGTAAAAGTGGCAGATTTCATTACTGCTCATTCGAGAAGTTGCTTTAAATATCGCGAGCGTGATGATAACTTCCAGGCCAAGCGCGGAGCACATAGCATGCAGTGTGCACGAGGAGGCCAGGCCAGGCCCGGCGAGACCCTTGCTCTGTCTGGACCCCAGAGCCTCGACCCAGCCTCAAACCTCCCAGCCTGCCTCGCATCCAGGGCGAGGGTCTATTACAGCACCGCTCACACACGTAGCACTGGCTTTGCTGCTACCACATTTAAAGGATGACAGCGGTGCTGTGTGGTAACCGCGGGGCATTTACAATACTACTAGATTTTCATCAGGAGTTGAAGTGGAGTTCCACTTTTATATATTTGGATACCGCGTTAATATTCACTTAGGCATCGCTGTGTGTAAAATATGTTAGGGCTGAACCCCCGAACTGAAGGCTTTCAATTCATCAAAATCTCACTGTAAGTTCAGTGTGTCAAGTTACATGGGAAATGTGGAAATCAGCACAGCATTTTGTCAGGTTAAATAATCAGATTTCCTTCAAAAACCATCAGTGGTTTAGTCAAATTATGCATGCAGTATGTAAAGATATATTTTTATTGGCTGTCTGATTTGAAATGTATAAAATAACCCAGATTAGCATCTTGATTTATCTTTGAAACACATCTCAGACGCCGCGCGAGAGGTGCGCAGCAGCAGGTCATTCATTAGTGGGTACTGTGGACCTGTGCGTCCACATTAACAAAACAACGCCTTCAGGCATTCCTGAAGAGCTTTGGGGGATGGTTGATAGAAAAATAATAATGGGGGGGGCGGGGGGGAGCAGAGCGGAGAAAGTGCAGGGCTGAGGGTCATGTGGAGGCCATGGAGGGTTGTGTCCTGTCTGCAAGCCCGACAACAATGGAGTATTACATTGACTAAACCCCTCCCCCCCCCCCACTCACTGCTTAGCTTCTCCACTTGTAGACGGGCTGCTGTAAGAGCAACACTCGTAATGCAGAGTTAAAGCTAAATACTTTTGAGCCTTTTAAAAAACAACAACACAGGAGCAGGAGTGTAAGGAATGGATTACAGAGGGTTTATCTGCTCTGACATAAGTTAGCAGTTGTTAGCATGTCCAGCTAACAAGCTTAGTAGGCTTCCAGAGCTAAGTAGCATTTCATTAGCCAGCTATGTTATTATGTGGGCTTATAGAGTAATGTAGAAAAATATCATGTTCACTAAGAGGACCTCCACTGTTTGGACGCCGGTCACAGTTGCTGTCAGATTTTAGGGTAAAGCTAGAAGCTCTGTTCTGAGGAAAAACAGCAACCCAACAGGGTTACGTTGGAATGAAATGACTTAGCTTTAGCTTTTACAGGGTTGCTGTTGTATTATGAGTGAGCTGGAAACAATAAAAAAGTGCTCAGTACGAAGTTCAGAGCGACAGCTGAGCGGGCAGCTCACAGCTAACAATGCTAACAGTGTGCAAACAGTGCATACAACAGCAGCCGTGTCTGCCTCGGCCTAAAATCAAGGAGCCAATATTTAACAAATGACTGAGAATTTCAATGGTGTAACTGCCATTACTATCATTGTAAAGTGCATATGTAAATGGTGAATTGAAGGGTCAATTGGTAGAATACAGGGCAAAAAAATACACACTCACACGGGTGAGAACATGCAAACGTCCAGCCCGGCAAAACGAACGCAGGCCCGTCTTGCATAGGGTTGGGTACCGAAACCCCGTTCCAATATAGCACCGGTTCCTATATGACCGGTATCTACCGGACCGAAACGCAACGCAGATTTCGGTGCTTCCTTTCGGTGCCTGAGCCGATTGAAATACTTTTTTTACACTACTCTGATGACTCCATCCTGGCAGCAGGTAACGATAGCCTCGGTCCTCCGCTCCTCACTCATAGTATTATTACAACCGGCCGAGCCGTGCGCGCTTAGAAACAAACCCCTCCATCATTCTGGCGAAGCTTCGGCCATGATTTATTAAAAAAACGAGACCGAGATCTGTCAAACGGCTGGCAGGCTACTGACTTCCTCCATCGACATCCGGGTACTTAGCGCTGCCGCTCATAAACACAACTTCCACAGGGACGCGAAACCTTCTTCTTCTTCGAGGTGTAAAACTGGTAAAATAAAATAAAATAAAATAAAATTAAATTATTCAGGACAGGTGTCGTATTTTGCCAGAGAAGGCAAATGTGCTCATATTTCTGCAAAAGAATTGCTGAAGTTTGAAGCTGTAGTGTGTGTACAGAGTGTGTGTGTGTGTTTATCTATATTTATTTAAGTATACTGTAAACTGTTGTTAACAGTTAATATATTGTTCATAGTTTGAAGTTAAAAAGTTTGAAGCTGTGGGTTTGAAGCCAAGTGTTTTGTATTTATTTATATTTATAGTATACTTTAAACAGTTAATATATTGTTCAATTTGAAGAAAAAAGTATCGGTTCAGGCACCGTTTAGGCACCGGTGTTGTTTTAAAAGTATCGTTTTAGCACCGGTATCGGAAAAAACCCAAACGATACCCATCCCTAGTCTTGCAGTGCTAGCCGCGACACCACCGCACAGCCGTTCTAAACGAATCAACTTGCTCAAATACATTAAATGAAGAGTATAGAAAACACATGCCCTTATGTTGAGGAATAACGTGTCTCACCCTTGAACAGAAAAAGGAAAGAGCACTTACAGAGTAACCTTTGGAGGGAAAAAGATTTCGAATAAGGAAAATCAAGAGACTCCGGGGAGAGGCAGAAGGAGAGAGGGAGGCAGGGCAACATAAAGCAGATCTTTCCCTGGCCCTCCGCTTCATTACGTGTGAAATTGTCCATATAGGTTGTCCTCCAAATTATGGATGTTAATTAAAAATATTTACATTAGCATGACAGGCAGGAGAGGTTCAGCATCCTCTGTGGAAGAACTGTGGCATGCTGGCGGGAAACGGGCCTGCTAATTTGCAACGTGCCTGATGAAGTCCATGCTCCGTGTGAACCGAGGCCTGGTCCATCGGGCTAGGAGCAGGACTCTGCAGACAGTATGCGTGAGAGGACAAAAAATTAAAAGAGAGAGAACTTGTTGCCAGTGCCGTTCATTCCCAGATTAACCTTAAAAAATGTTTAAAAAAGTGCTGTGGAAAGACCGGGGCAGACTTTTGAGCGCACCTCTTCTCTTGATGAATGGAAATAGATTGTAAGGAATCACGCTGAAAATTTAAGGAATGTTTTGTTCCATCTGTGTCTGGGATATTCTTGCCATTTTTTTTAAATTTTTTGTCCTGAGTAACAAATCTAAAAAAGTCAAATGTGAAAAAGGCTCACCGAGCACAGTTGGTGCTGAGAAAGATTGAAGTCGTTACTGTGGCACCTGGCTGAGCATATTGTTCCAGTGTTCACTGGCGACGCTCGTCTTCCAACCGCAAATACAGCACGAGAAGCCGCTAAATTCATTCTCAAGACCTTGGCACGTTGTAAAGCTCTTCGGGGGGCTTTTGTAACACCCGCTCCTCGAGTGTTAACAATTCCATCGGCTCGGGGGAAAGAAATTGAAAGGACATTTAGAGTGTACTAAATGTGACCGATTAATACGAGGTCTACTCCGGCGATTACTCTGAGTGCTAAAAGTGTAAATTGGCGAGGCCCTGGATGACTGCGGTTGAGTGCCCTCTTTTTTGGGTCGCGGGAGGGCGAGGCCAGGCCACCTGGGGCTGCGAAACACTGAGCCACAGTCGTTAGTGTGATCTGCATGCTGGGAGGTGAGGAGCTTTATTAAAATCTACGGTGCCAAGTTTAACAGCCCCTCCAAACGCAGTGAGGTTAGCAGTGACATCATAGCTTTTTTATTTTAAATTTTGGAGTCCAGTCCTCTACTCACCCACTAGGACCACCAGCCTGTGCTTGTCTCCGCTTGGCCTGCGGTGCGGGGTGACCTCCTCGTACGTGGGCACGTCGGCCATGTCGTACATATCGCTCTTCTTGCACTCGTACATGGACTTGTTGGTCTTCTTGTCCCTTCTGCTCAGACGGAAGCTCCTCCTGAACCCAGCTGGAGGTGAAGATGAAAAAGAGAGAGGAGGGGAGAGGACACAGAAAGAGACGCGTTAATCTAAAATATACCAAAAAAAACAACCCATAAACGTTTGTGTGATTCATGGTCGTTTCAGCATCTTGGCAAACGCCTCCACGGCTCGGCGTCCAATACCTCATACTGTATTGTGCAGCTCGGTTTTTCAGACGGCTATCTTTGCTGTTTGTGAAAGAAGAACAGTGTGACACTCGGCCAAAACGGTTTCCCTGGATATCACACTCGAAACCCCTTATTCACATTCTCCTCTGGTGACATGCAGAGGATTTGAATTTCCTTCTTTTTCTGCATCCACATTTCTCTTGGAGACTCTGGTGAGGTTTAAAGACTTTCAATGTTTGTGAGACACGACATATATAAAATGATTATATTACCTTTTTAATCAAGGTAGTGATGACTCATCCTTTTTTTCCCCCACACATCTTGAATCCTGTGGTCTCTCAAACCACATTTCTACTAAGAGTTAATCGTGTGATATGGAAGAAACGAAAGATGTTCTTGTCATGTAATTGACTGCTACGGTATGTGACTGTATATTTGGTGAACGGCTGTAGTGTGTCTATGTACGCGTGTGTCCTTTAGTGTTGTTTGTCTCAGGAAAGGTTACCCCACCATCAGCCGTCATCTCCGATTGGTTTATGGTGTGCGCCGTCACGAAGGCTTCTCATATCAATCCAAGAGTGGGCATGCCTTGATCTTATAATCAACGACCGGATCAAAGGGAGACATTTCCCCCCCCCCCCCCCCCAATTTAAGAACTTTGGTTTCATATTCATGGCAGATGTTGGCGGAAACTTAAAAAGAAATTTGTAAATCGCCGGAAAGCAGGACTTCGAATAACCTATTTCTGCTTACTTCCACGGGCTGTTTGCAGCCTTCTCTTTCATTATTCCACTTTTTAATCAGTAATTATTAAACTTGAAAAATACGATGCAAGATAAAGGTGGCATGAAAATGATGGACTGGGAGCAGAATTGGGACTTAAAACTGCTCCTGATACCCGCTGCCCTTAATAATTTCCACAATATCTTCAAACCACTGCGAGGCTGTGCACAGACACAGAGAGACAGAGAGAGAGAGACTGCATTGTTCTCGGCTTGTTCTTTTCAGAACAGTGTCTCAATAACGGATGGCGTTACAGACCTATGCTGAGTTACAAATGAAACACGCCGTAAGTCATTGGAACAGACTAATAGTGTTTTTTCGCGTGGGCTCGTATACGTAGGATTGTACACGTGCGCCCGAGTACCGAATATAGTGTTACACTGAACATTCGGGGGTAGACTTTGTTCCACTGTGGGCAAGTTGTGGCTTATTTCGCCTGTGCCATTCCTCCTGCGGTTCATCTACTCATTCAGCACCCTCGCTCCCCCCACCCTACCCCCGTACCCCCACCCGGGGAGCGTTAGTCTGTGCCACACAGTGGAAAAAACACACACCGCTCATCTGCATTTCTCCTGTAAAGACATCAGACTGTAACCGATACCCACGCGGGTTGACATCATAACAATAAACATTAAAAGTGTAATGTTCTTAATATCCTATTGAAAGCCAGCAGTCAATTTTCTTCTCCCCACCCCCCAAAAAACCCCAGTCTGGTCAGCCATTTCTCACAATATAAACACTTCTGGTTAATAAGGCTTTAAGTAGTACTGTGATAGCCGTTAATTCTGTCTGCCGTAGAGTATGACGAGCTCCGATCTCATTGGGCTCGGGCCAAGGGCAACCTCCTCTTACTTTCCGCAGGTGCAGGAGGCTCAGCGGTTATAAATTGCCGGCCCTCAGAGGGGGGGGGGCCTCGGTAATCTAGTGTCCCTCAAGATCACTTAAACCTTTCTAGACAGCGGCAAATATGGGACGGAGAGTTCTCCTGACCTCCCCTCTAGCGCTGCCTAAGGGTGGATAAATCAAAGCGTCATTCAGCAGCAAGCAGCACCCCCCCCACCCCCACCCGACAACGCTCATCTTCAGCACTGACGGCGACTGCATGAGACAGAGGGGATGGGAGTTAATTTGATCCAGAATTAAGGAACGAGTCCCGTTCAAACGTAGACATGTCATGGAAAGCCTCGGCTGTGTTGGAACACCGGCACGTTTGTCACAGGATGATCTCAGCATAAGGCTTACTCGTAGAAATGGAATGCATGATATGTGTGGCACTGAGATCCAGTACCTCATTCAATGCTTTGACAGGTCACATCAAATTTGTCGACAATAGATCTGTTTTGAATTTCCTCCGAAATGGTGTGTGCTTTTCTGCAAAAGTGTTCAGTCTTCAGGGGTATGGAGTTAAAGTTTCCTTCACGCACGCACGCACGTACCTCCTAATGGTGTGCACCAGGCTGTGACTGGGCAATTGCCAAAACTGCAACACACACCGTCTCTCACTCTCTCTCACACACACTTTGATTCAAAGTCCTTTCAGCAAAACAGAAACATGTAAAAAAAAGTGGGGGGAAAGAAGATGAGCATATTTAACGTAGTGTAAACACAAGCTGTGACTAAGCACATGCACACACACACACACACACACACACACACACACACACACACACACACACACACATATACACACACACACACACACACACACACACACAGTTTGGAAGTCGCCAGCAGTCCTTCAAGCCCATTTTCCAGAGTGATAATATCTTACAGCCACGTAGGACATTTTCAGTATGTGCCTAAAGAAAGCGCCTCGGAGGCCTCTGCGACCCTAACGGCCAGTGAAAACTGCCCACTCGGACACGATTATCCCGTGCGGTGCTACGAACCCGCACCAGCAAAAAAAAAAAAAAAAAGGAAATGGCTACCACTGTAAAGAAAAAGAAGTACGGTGCAGCAAGACAAATGCTCATAAAAAAATAACAGATGACTCGAAAAAGACTTGAGTCGTGCATTTGCCTACGGACGTCTGATAGAGGAGAAGCCTGAGAACAATACCGGCATCTTCCAGACATCACGCGTAGGCGATCAGCGAGATGTCAAGACGGAGAAGAAGAAAAAAGACATTTTCCCCTCCAATCAAACTTCATTTAGTGCAGAGAGGGAGACAGAAAACGTGTGGTGTAGCTAAGAGGACCAGGCTCATAGTGAAACCACCTGTTGCGAGGCCCTGGTGCCGCGAGGGCCGCCGTCTGAGGCCCGTGGCCTAACTACAGGAGACCGCGCTGACAGCTCCTGTGCCATCCTGGCTCTCCCGGCGGGGGCCCTCTCTCTCCTCTGGACTAATGGAGACGACATCTATGGAATCAAGCGTGCATGGCAGCTGGGGATTAAGTGAGCATTATGCCTGTGGCTCGACGCCGCATGCTGCGGTTTGACGCTGTAACGCTCCTGGGCACCAAATGTGGGAAGCATTACCGGCTCTCTCGGCCCCACTATGCGTGCCCACTGCCTGGCTCGGTTGGTGGGGGGGGATGAGGAAGGCTCATGGCGGGCAGCTGGGGAGGCGGAGGACGCTTTCCACACCGTCAGCCGTTATTACCCCAACACTGAGTAAAAGGACGAGGGAGCGTTGCTGCTCATAATGACAAAAATACAGAAGCCTGGGGTAGACAGTGGGACTGCTCTGCCTGCTTATTGCTCGCAAAATACAATGAAACATGCTAGACTGTTGAGGGAAAATGTGCCCACATTTTATAGAGTCAGAAGTTGAGCCATGTCTTTGAGGGCCAACATAATGTACTGTAAAACGCCAAGAAGTATCAGGAGAGGAGAGGAATCAACAGAAGAATCAATAGGGGAAAGGAATCAGGAGAGGAATTGGCAGGAAAAGGGACAGGAATCAATAGGGGAGAGAAGAGGAATCAGGAAAGGAGAGAAATCCAGAGAGGAAAGGAATCAGGAGAGGAATTGGCAGGGAAAAGGAGAGGAACCAATAGGGGAGAGAAGAGGGACCACGAGACAAGAGGAGAATTCTGAAAGGCTAGCAAGTGAAAAGAAGGAAGGGGACATACCATGACAGACAGGCGTGTGTCCTTCAAATGATCCCTCCACACAACTGTTAACAGGCATCTGTGAAAATGATTTCGGTACTGTAGTAAAAGTGGGCTCCATGGCTGATCTCAGAATATTTGATCGTATCAAACGTCTAACCATTTCTGGAAGAGGTCATGACAGTGTAAACATAAAGTGCATGACCCAACACCTGGACTTAAGGGAAGCTTCAGTCAAGAGTTCAATGCAGCCGAAAGGCAAAGTTCGTATAGGTCTGCCATTTGAAATGTACGTGTGGCAGTCCACGGTGGTGAACCCATTAGAGTGTTATCTGGGGAGAACACATTCTGGGAGTAGTTTCCACGGCCCCCGCGCTAAGCATTTGGAAAGTGGTACCCGACCCAAGTGTTACGGGCTTATACGGTGGAACAGCGCTCTAGACCGTTGGCTGCAAGAGGTCCATTTGTGTCAAACGCTATTTGCCTTTCCCCTCCGTCTTATCCCACAGCTCTTTGGGCTGAGGAATGTCTCGTCTCAAAACGATGCCTGATGCCTTATGTGTTGGCAAAAAAAAAAACAAAAAAAACACGCACGCACACACAAGTACTTCTGCTTTTACTGGAGTCCTTGAAGCCACCATCAACATGCCAAAGGGGCCCTCTGAGGGCCAAAAGTACTGTAATACCTGCTTTCCTGTTTGTCTCATCAGGGGAAAAGGCTCTACTACAAAATCGCATTCAAGGAACTTGCACGTCTCTTTTTAGACTCTATAAACAACTACAATGTTTGGTGCTAATAGAGATGTTCTGATGCCATTTTTTCCGTCAGGAGTCCCATACCTGAACATGGGTATCAGCCAAAACAGAGAACCGAATCGATACCACTGTGTAAAAAAATAACTATGTACCCTTGATTGATGTATGATTGCTATCATTGCTGCATGGCCTCACTTGGCTTAAACCCTTTGTAAAACATGACTAAATGCGTACAGAGAATGAATGTCATAGAACTTCTTATTATCTAGTTTGACAGATTTTCCAGTGTAAAATATTGCCAAATTGCTGATATTTTGCCAGCTCTGGCTAACATTACGCTCTCCCTATTGCGCATGTGCGAATCTCAAGAAAGATGAGAAAGAAGCGAGATGGCTCTTTCGCACAGATGCAGACGATCGTTTTTTTCTTCCTGGAGCTGATGACGGATGAGTGAGCCGGCTCGCTTCCGTCTCGGAGCTTCTTTCACGTGTGCAGTACTGAAAGTAAGGACTTTGGGTAGCGAGTGGAACGTGTTGCTGTTGTTCCCGTTCGGAGTAATTGAGCCGATAGATAATATGATATTGAGGTATTGGGTCGGTGAGTAGACTCGCATGCTCGCAGGTACCTGATCCAGCATTTCAGGCTGTACTGGAGGCATTTCCGACTCTGGTATTGGAACAACTCGAGTTGCTCGTGCTGATTAAAGCACCCCTCCATAAAAATGTGTATCGTTTCAATCTACAGATGTTTGGACACAGACAGGGGGAAAAACTGACTAACAAACCTAACCTTGAACCGGCAGCTTGATGGTCTCCTGTCATTTTGGAAATCGAGCATTTTTTGCTTCAGTTAATAACACTTTAACCATTTTATTTCCATTACTTGGACATAATTGGAATGAGAGGGGCTGATGGATATTCCAGCCCCGGATCGTTCAGCTTTAAACTGATTTGGAGCTACTTGCTTGCCTTCCATCCATCCATCCACCCACCCATCCATCTTTCTCTTTGGATATTCAGTGTGTGACTACTGAGATTATGTTAATGATGTGTCACCGTGCATATGAGCCCATGTCACAGTTAGTGTTTGGATTTTCTTGTTGTGACTCGAGCTGAGTGCACCTACAGATCACTGGAAAAACAGATGTCTTTGTACGTCTTCTACACTAAAAAAAAAAGGAAAAGTGCCCTGGGTGTCAAAACTGCTCTTTAATTCTCCGTACAGAGTTAAAAGACTCAAAGCACTGCTTCCTAGAAAGACCTGATAAGAAGGCATCATGGGATGCAGTTTTCCTCCTCCTAGGTCTGATTCTCCAGTCTGCTGGCTCTAAAAGCTATCAACATCTGAGCACAGGGATCTGCTCGCCCCCCCCTCACCCCCACCCACCCAGTAGTGCTCCAGGATCGCTTTTGGCCGAGGACCTTACAGACATTGCATCACTAAGAGAGGTATGAAGGGAAAACGAACCAAAAACTAAGGACAACAACTGCCCCCCCCCCCCTCCTCCCACCGCCTCTTTTATTTCCCCATGCAACCTCAGTAGCATTGCAAAAGCATCTGTAAGTTCTAGGATTTCAAACTTTTAGGGACGGGCCAACTCTAAATCACACAACCACATCCAACAGGCTGAAAAGCCATGCAGCAAGTACTCGCATAGAGAAGATGTTATTATAACTTACACTATTTCTTTTTTCTCTCTCTCTTCTCTTCCTCCTGAGGTTCTCTGATTTCAGTTAAACCTCGTTCTGGGCTGCTGGAGTCGAGAAATGCTGCTAACCCGCTAGAGCGCTGGATGTTGTTTGGGTACCGAGGAGGAAGAGGAGAGGCTGAGGTCATTGACCTCACGGAGGAGGCAGGGTGACAGTAAGGGCAAGCCTGAAGGGGACAGAGAGGAGTGGAAAAAACGGACTGGTGTTTGGCATGGTTCGGCCTTGGGAAGTGACCCTGATTGAGCTTGGCAGACATGGCTCAAACTACGTATTTATAAACTCGCGTGTGCACTGGATATCCTGCGAAATCTGGAGTCTGAACGGTGTAGTGTACAAAGGTGAGTTCACCTCCCGACCTCAACCTCTGAATATAGACCGAATGGGACGCAGAGAGGGAGACGGAGAGAGACAGAGGGAGATGTAAAGAGACAGAAACGAAAGAAAAACGGCAGACGGGCAGACAGAGGATTTGTGTACGAGCCAGCCGGTACGGCCTGTGGTCCTCCAGCGGGACGATACCTTATGATTTTGTTGGGAAAACGACAGAGGTAATAAAATCATGATGGGGAGCATTTTCTGTACAAGACGCAGAATTGGAAGCAGCTCTCTGGAAAGGGCTGCAGAACCAAAGCAGCCCACGGTAATTGTCATTAACTCTGACCGGGACCACATCAGCGATGCCGCGCCGGAGCCGGACCTCCAGGACAAAGCGTGCAAAACAAAAAATCAAACCCATCCAGAGCTGTTCTCAAAGACGTCTGCAAGCCCACAGCGGAGGCAGAACAGGGTAACTACTATATTCTGCAAATCCTCCACGAGATCTGCCAGTGGACTCACGCTGTCAGCAAGAGGGCAAAAATAGCACACCGTAGGCTTCTGCACCGCTACAGAACTACTCCTCGTGTTTTTCACATGCGAGTCCAAGTTGAATGAGTTAGAGGGAACACGTCAAGTACATTATGAAAAGCAGATAACTATTTGTCAGGGTTGATAATGTCTTGGTAATGTGGCACATGCTATGAAGGCTGGACTATGACGGAGGGGCTAAGGGGATTAATGGAGAGGATTCATGTAAATCTAACACAATCCTGGCCCACTGTCCAAACTGTTAATTCATCGAAGGGACAGCTGCATCAGGAGGGAGCGGAGGGCAGAAGGAAGAGAAGGAGGCAACGTCTCTCACCTAGCTGGAATCCGCTACTATAGTCAGCGTCCTCTGGTGATGAGAAGGGAAAGAAAGGAGAAGCCAGAAGAGAGGCACAACATCATGTTAAAGAGAATAGTCAGACATGACAGCAAACAGGCACCTACCCCTCGAACCACGAAGACACACACACACACACACACACAAGAGGAAACACACACAGTCCACGAGACAGACACGAGATGTTTTGTGTTATTTATGGAGGAGCGTCCGTTAATTAAGTCCTCTTTGTGCAGAGTGATAGCCAGTGATGTAGTGGTGAATAAGAAGAGAGGTTGACTATGACCTCAAGTCGGTGCATCGTGAGTAAAACCTACGGAAGACCTGAGAGGCAAGTGAGAAAAAAAGAAGAAATTCTGCTGATCCATTTCTGATTCCAAGTCTGATCTGAACTGTTTTCTCTTCTGTGTTTATGACTTAAGAACAGCTGAAAACAAGTTTTGTCCTGGATGATCTTTCAGAAGTGCCTTACAGTTTTTTTTCATCTGTGAAATAAACCCTATTAATGAAAATAATAATTAGCCTAAACTAGATTTAAGGTTTACAATCCACTACATCGCTGGCTATTGCTTTGGATGTTTTCTTTTTTTAAGTTTATGAATCATTTTGTATTATTAGTGCCTTCCGCAGGCGCAAGGTGACTGGAGGTGTCCATGTGAAGGAATGATTCTCTCCTGTCCGCTCTTATGAAAATGACAAGTTAGCAGGTGAAAGATAAAGATAAGAGCCAATAAACTGTGAACTCTCCGCTGTGTTTGAGGGAAGAAGTTGACCGTCTGATGCGCCCCTTTAAGAGCGATTAGCTTTGACATGAGGAGACAGGCCAAATGAAAACAAGGAGGATGGAGAGCAGAGGTGAGAGGTGGACCTCTGGTTATGCACAGACATTATGGAGGTGAACCAATCTCACAAATGGTTTTACTGTTTGCGTTTCACAACGCTATTTGTCAGTAACGTCCTATTGAATGGGAGACAAGTAGTACCTTCGATCTCCTCGACTGTGAGAGCAATAGAAGCAAGGAATGGAAGTGAGTCACAGTTAGAGCAATTGTTGGATTACACAGAGTAAGTTGAGGGACGGGGATGAGAGAATAAAGAAGAAGATGAGGACACCTACCAAACTCTACAGCCACATCGTCTTAGAAAAGCAAAACAAAAGACAAACAAAGGACAAAGAGAAGAGTTAACATCCTAATGTCTCATGTCAAATACTGGCATTTGAGCCACAGTGACAGTAAGCTAGTTTGTGTCTCTCTGTTATAAACTAAACTAGTACGCAATACTGTGACAAATTCGTATTGAAATATTGTTTTGAGTCATTTCTCAAATTATATTTCATTGTGTAATGTTGCTACATTAATTTAACCAGCAAATACCAGCTCAAGGTGCACTTACTAGCTTTCAACTGATTTCAAACTGCAACTCATGGTCTTCATCAATGGGTCAAGTATGCTCAGCTGTCATGACACGGACAAAGTGTGTAAACTCCGGACCCCCAAACCCAAGTTTTATCCAGGTTACGTGATAACAACCGAGTGAACTCCATCCACTGATGAAGACCAAGAGATGGAGCTGAAAGCTAAAAAAAAAAGCTAGTAACTGGACCTTATGTTCAGATGTTCTTGAGCTAACTAGAATATCAAACTATAAAGGCCTTTACACATTGGGGGCGTGACGTATACTATAAACAACACGAAAATGCGAAATACTCACCTGAGAATATTCCGCATTGAAACTATCCATACTGGCAGCGATGTGAATTTGTGACAATTGCAACATTCCAATTGACGGCGTGTAAAGGCCTTTAGACTGAACTTGTACCTTCTACCAAACAACATTTCTCGTTACTATTTAGCTACAAGGCATTGACATCCATTGTTACCTAGTGAGACACAGTCTGTGGGATATGTCTGTGGTGCAGCCACGGTGACTACACAGAAAGAAACATATTTACATTCAAAAGGGTTTAAGGTAGCATTTGAAATCACTCCAGATGTTTAAGAGTGCCATCCAAAACAGTTATAAAACGGCTTTAAAAAATGGTAGCCGACGCAGGACCAGTGTGTGTGTGTGTGTGTGTGTGTTTGGTTTAGGATGCCGTGAACATTTGGAGGCACTTATAAATGCTTCCTCCCCTTCCCGTGTTCCCATTTTGGCCAAACAAGGTTAAATCAAAACATACATAACACCAGCGACCACAGCACGGGGGCTCGCCTTACGCTCAGGGAGCTGCTACGTCACGGCACGGAGCTAACGAGCAGCCAAAACAGCAGTCAGGAGCGATCACCTCGAAGGTCGCTCCGCGCTGGAGGACGTCGGGGCCCCCGGGAGCCGTGATTGTTTCTGAAGTGCGGAGCCAAATGTGTCTCGCCTTTATCTGACATCTTGTTTCACATGTTAGTGTTCACGGCAATGTTCCCCACTGATGTTGCCCTCCTCCCCGCCGTAATGTGACAGTTTAAGTCGAACCAGCGCCCGAAGCCCACTTCGAGTAGGATGAGAGGTAATTGTAGAGGGAGACTTGAAAGAGGGGAAACAAGGACAATATGAGAATGATAAAGGTATCGGAAAAAAAATCCGTCAATGTGCTGCCCTGACTGAACCCGGGGAGGCTTTTCATCTGGTGCCTATCTGCCACAGGAATGGTTTGCATTTTGCCTAATGGCCTCGTGGCCTTGTACAGCAGCATTCCAGGTCTAATGAAACACCGTGCGATTACGCTGCAGAATGTGAGTCGGCAGGGCACGGCCTATCTGAGAAAGCTTAAATGCTCTTCTCTCAGAGAGCATTCCCCCCCCCCCCCCCACCTAGCAGAAAGAAACGGGAACAGTCAGACAATCAAGTTGGGAGCTGGGCTAAATAGTAGGTCATCATCAAACCAATCCTCGTTATTGTCCTCGTCATCATCACAAGAGTAAAAAAACGATCGTCCGAGTCATACTGCCTGTGTGCATAGTGTCAATCCTTCAGCTATCTCTTGGCGAGGCAGGAGGAGACAAAGGAGTGACCCCGAGTCGGCACCCTGTAAATGGCCCCGAGTTATGGAGCCGATGTCACCCTCGCAGCCAGCCAGCCAGCGCACACGGCCTTCTCCTTGAACGAACTGGACGCTGTCACTCTCTCGCTTTATGTCTCTTTTTGTGACAAGTGGAATTTTCCAGATGACACAGAGCGAGAGAGCTTTGTCGTGCGTCTTTCGGCCCTCAAAATGCAGAGCTGATTATTCAAATCCCTGGCACGCGAGTGTAAGCTCTACATTAAAAAGCTGACTTTATACATCACAAAATGTGGGATACTCACGATGAAATTACGTGCAGGGAATTTTAACGTGAAGGGAATAATAACAAATTAATCTATAACACTTTAGGGGTGGTGTCCGCGAGGTAATCTGCCTCTAACCTATGTGAATAAAACGGAACTTTTCTGCTGCACCTTTTGCGCTTCTAAACAGGCTCCCGCGTCTGCGAAGAGTGAGCTGACAAATGAAATGGACGGATAGACTGAACACGGGGGCCAGGTTCGGGGCCACTTAAGACCAACCTCTGGCGGCATTTCGAAAACGTCTCAGAGCGAGAGTGAGAGGGACGGCGCTGTAATGTATGGAGTGAGACGTGGAAAAGAACCCCCAAGGTGAGCGATAAGTGCGTCCACGTGTTTGGCGGACTGCGACCTGAACCAAACAATTAAGGAAGGGGTTTGCATGTCGGAGACGGAGGAGCAGACATGCTGTAAGAAAGCCCAGAGAGACGTCCGTATGTTCAGAGAGAACAGATGAGGAGGCTGGAGGACGGCCAGGCATCGATGGAAGGGAGCCGGGGGGTAAAACAAAAAAAGAAGGGAGGAGGCAGGTTTGACAACTAGAGATGTAAAATAGTTGAACTAACCCCTGTACCGAGGCAATAATTGACTTAAACTGATGGCACTTTAAACATCAGTTTCATAACCGAGGTATGTGAGGTAAAGCGACGAGTGCAACGATGAGGGGAGAGGGATTATTTATACCTCGGCGTAAATGGACACGGTTAAGCAACACTCGCCGCAGCCGCTCGCCAAGACCAATATTGTTCCAGCCGACGGAGCTCCCGGGCTGGAAAGAGAGAGAGCGAGAGCAAGGGACCCCCCTACTCAATCACCACCTCCGTCCTGCGCTCGGTAACAGCGGGGTCTCCGCGGTGTCCTTCAATTAGGTTGTAGTTTATGGCTCCGGGGCCCAGGCCGGTGCGCACCGATCCAAGTCTTCGTCTCCCTCCGTCTCCCCCGACCCGGCCACCGCCACTCCGCAGGGGCCACATCTGCTACCGAACGCGACCCCATCCATCTATTCCGCCTTCAGTCCGTCCATAATCCTCTTCTTGTCAGCGGTTTTTGTTTTTCACTTTTAGTCACTCAACTTACACCACAACTGGATCCAACATTTTTCTCTAATTGAGGTTTTTTTTGAGATGTGAGATGCGAATGAACAGGGTGAACTTATCATTCCCCCAGTTATTCATCTAGTCCTGAGAGGGCCATGTCAAGGGACTTCCTACTACTGCTGCTGCACTCAGCTAATCCTTACAGTATGTATGACATGAGGAGGAAAGTTTAGCTACAGCTCCAAAGTAGACTTATGTTCCTTTAGTATGACTCGCAGCAAACTACATTTTACACCTGCCTTCTTTGCAAGGGGAGGGGGGTATAAATCCCATAACTCATAGGAGGAACTGGGCCATTAAAATTAAATAGTAATGGAACAGTGCAGCACTGTCTGCCTTTAACTTTTTAGCCGGCTATTTTTGGCCCTCGTGCACCATGCGTGCCAGTGTGCGGTTGAACATAACCAGGAAATGACAACATCCATAACTTACCCGAGGGCTTAAGATGGGAGGTAAAAAAGAGCCCCGATGCTAAGTTTGGAGGTGGTCAGCGTAGCTCTGCTGCTTATTTGGGAGCCGCATATTGAAAGGGGTCACGTTACATTAAGGGCTCTCCACCATGTTGAAGGGAAAACAAGCAGTCAAATGGACACGTCCGTCCCAAAGTGGGAATCTACAGTGAAAAACAATATGGCCAATAAGAAGCTGGGTTTCGGTTCAACGGGGTCATTGTGGAAACCGGAGCGGGCCTACGAAGCCAAGTACAAGCGTGGTGTGTTTTTCCTGAGGGCTCGCGGGTGAGAGAGACGAGCTGTACGTTGCAGAGGAGAAGCTAAATGTGCGGCTATGGATATGAAGATGTGAGCAGAGACGTGAAGACGGAGCAAGGACGCAAGCAGGGAGGAAAGGAGAGGTGTGTCGAGGTTTTTCTGCAAATAAGCTTGTAGTAGAGAACTGTGATGTGGGATAACTAATAAAAAGACGTATGGATAAAGTCTTTGTAGCAAAAAGGACATTTTTTAAATTATTTCCCCCCCCTTTTTTTCCCAAGTTTTGAAGATTGCAAAAGCACAAATGTCAAGTAAACAGCCAATGTGAGTAAGACTGCAGACTTAAGTCTGCGTCTACGCGTTCCGCCACACTCGCAGCAGATATTGGCAGCGTGTTCACCTCCTCCATGGCTGCAGGCGCGCACAGGCACTCATATTGTAATGGGGCAATCCCAACGCCAGCTGGATGGGCTTCCATTCATGCGCTGTAGCTCACCATATACAAACCAAATTGCTGTTTGGCAAGCGTTTGTAAATCAGAGCTAACGTCTTTATCATTTTGAGGGCTGCATGTTGGGGAGTGTCTCACGGGGACTCCCAGTCAGGTGCAACGGAAAGTCCTGCGGACCCGCAGGTGGGCGCAGTTTATGGAAGTGCAAATTTGGCCAATTTGGGCTTGAAGCGTCATATTTGTTACTGTTTTGAGCTCAGCAGCTGGACGAGAGAGAAATGTGTGTGTGTGTGTGTTTTTTGCTCACGGATTGCAGTTTTAAAAAAGCACACACTACTTCCAGTGGTGAGAGGTGACGAGTTTCATTTACTCTGTGACATGTACTCTAGTAAAATTGTTCCCGTCAGAGTAGTTTTAATGCAACATACTTCTTACTCGAGTAGATTTTTTAGAGAAAAATCATTGCCATCACTCGGTTACATTTGGATGCATCCATTTTGTTTCATATATATATATCATTTGATCCATGATCCATGGTGTGGAAGCCGTGTGCATTTAGAAAAGTATTGACCAATTTGAAAAGGACAAACTTATTGTATTTCATGTGGACGTGACTGATGTGTTCCAACCACAGATGGTCTTCCTCAGGTCAAAGTGAAGAAGTGAACACACCTGTATTTAATAAGCAATCAATTATGAAACATCACACTACTATCTCCTCATTAGTCTGACAGGAGACATTTTCAGAAAGATGAGAGACTGATTCGTAGAATGGTGTACTTAATAAAGTATAATATGAATATCTTTTTGGAGGCTGATGTAAAGTGAAGGTGGTGAAGATGTTCAACCATTGCTGTTAAACTAACACTCCTGTCAGGCTTCTTTTGGAAGACAGTTCTGTCTTTTCATTTGACTGCTTTACAGCAGAAGAGGACAATTATAAATCACCACTGGTGGCCCCATAAACCCCAAAACAGAGGCCCTTTTTATTCTATGCTTTTTATTTTATGCAGTAAAATACTGAACTGCAGTATATTTAAACTGATTGGCTCTTTTCTAGTCTTGAACTTAAAACCAGAACTTTTCCTGCACTGACAGGCCAGGGTTGGGGTCACGGTACTGGATCGCAATAATAAAAAGGTACGCTAATGTGCTCCACAGAGCAGCGCCGCGCCTATATCACATCTGTGAGTCTCGCGTCCTATCATCAATCCGTCGTTAGGTGCTTTGAGATGCGAGCTTGTGAGCCCGTGTTTTGGCTGGAAGGTGTAAAGACTCTGAGAGGTTTTCCAGAGGGTGAACCTCCTCCCCCTTTTTTTCTTCTTCGCATTAAAAAGCTGACCGCGTCAACATGTGGAGATCAGGCAAGAAGGTGGACAGAGCGGAGAGAGAGTCTGGCGGGAGAGTGAACCGTGGAGCAGACAGGAAGGCAAATCCAGACACAACACTTCCTCTGATGACAGGCGTGAAGCAGCGCAACGGCGCCGGCCGGCTTTGGCGGCGGTGGCCTCGGAATGCAGGGATGAGTCCTGAGTGACACCCCTAGCTTCCACCGCTTGTTTGTGCATCTAACCCTCCTAAATCCGCCCACCTGTCGCAGCCTGTTGTCCTGTGCTGGGCCTATCACGGAGAGTGCATGCTTACATGATCGAAGGCTAGAGGTCCTCTGCAGCGGGAGAGTCGCAACAGGTCGCCGCAGTGCAAATCTCCTGAAAGAAAAGAGAGAGAGGAGGGTGAAGAAAGAGAGAGAAAAAAGCACAATAAAACCAGTTTTCATGACCGCCTGGGGGATAATAAACACTTCCTGCTACGCTTCGATATCCACCAGCTTCACGCGGTCAGCTGGTGAAAGGAAAGAAGGATTGAAGAGAGGAAGGATAAACGCACTCTGTTGACAAAACTGTGGGGTGAAATGTTTGCGTATGTTCTCTCTCCTATTTTGCTCTCCTCCCTCCCTCGTTTTTTTTTCTTTTTCTCCCCCCTACTTTCCTCTGATGCTCGCCGACGCTGCCAAAAAATTGCCCCAGGCCTCCCAAGCTAGTGCGTCGCACATCAAGTGCGGCCGTCCGAGCGCGCACACTGATGTGCCATTTTTCCCATCCGCTTGCCATCTAAAGTGGATCCGTACCAGCGCTATCTTTCGCTGTCATTACTCATTTCGGGGGCCAGGCATTGTGCGGAAATCCAGACCGTTTTTTTGGCAGCGTGGAGCGAGAGAAAGAGAAAAGAGGGTGAAAGTTGTGACAGCTAAGCAAAGAAGAGTCAACGGTAGCTGGGGTCGTCTCTTACCTCTCTTGGAACTGCTTGGATGGGATTAGGCCGGCGCGGGGATTGGCCTCCCCCTCGTGTTTGGCCTGCCACCAGGTCGCATCGTCCTGGCTCATGATCTGAAGGACGGAGCCCCTCTTGAAGGCTAGTCCGGCCTCCTTGCATGGGATGGCTTTGTCCTCTTTAGGGTCGTAGTCAAAGAGCGCCTTCATGAACACCTGGACGTAGAGCAGGAAACAAAGAGCTGGATTGAGGGCACAACAGGAAAAAGCGACGCTTCACTGTAAACGACCTTTTCCCTTCCACTGCGTGGAGGGTGAGCTCTAAGGGGGGAAGCCACCGCGGCAAACACTGAAGGTGCTTCACCAGCGCTCGGGGCGATTATTCCAGAAAGGTCATTGCAATCAGAAGTTGAAACCTGCAACGCGGGCCAAGTTGGTCCCTCTGTGTGGTTCCGTCAACACGCAGGACGGATTAAGCCCCGTCACCATCTTCCAAGTGTGGTGAGACTCAACCTCTCCTGAGTCAGAGGCTCCAGTTTGAATGGCTTTGTTCCACCCGCTGACACAATCTAATATCAGTAATCTTTCCACATTAAGGGAACAGGGGGAAAAGAAGTTGTTTTCTTTCTTTAAGGGAGTTGGTCTCATTTGCTTTGGCAGTGGGGGTGGACACAACTCATCAACACAAAGGAGGTTGGACACTACGGTGGAAAAATCTACGACACCCCCCCCCCCCCGGTTGTGGGCGGCTAGCTGCGACCTACAGCACCTCGCGGCGTCTCCTTGTCTAAATTGAGTTCTGTCACGATGAGTTATCGCTCACAAGACACCTCAGCGCATGTGGAAGGAGAAAACGAGAGAAGGCGTGCGAGTACGTGTGAGATGACATTTTTCGATGTCCTATTGATTTAAATAGCGCTTTGTGCCATGTAGTAAAGTTATGTTTCACACAGAGCTGTTTTGTTTGGGTCATAACGGCCGATTTGGCTGCTAAACCGACCGGCGGAACGCACTCGTACGTCTACACACTTCTCCCTTGGCTGGGTTTATTTGGCCTGTATATGCTCAGCCACTTAGCTGCATTTTGATGCCTCCACGCTACCTGATGTTAGAGCGCAAGCTATTGTCATGGAGGACCGGCTGAGTTTTGGGAACCGGCGGACATATTTTTCAGACGGTTTCAACCATAACACGATGACAAAGGATGTAAGTGGCCCACCCCGACCTGTACGCCTCTGTGACACATGCAGGGAGGGCTGCGTTGTGAATTATGAGAAACCTGCCTTCGACCCCGGAGCTTAAAAAAAAAAAAAAAAACACACACAAGTGGATCCAGCCTCTGTCCGCTACTGATAGATGAGTGTGAGAGAAATGGCGCATCAGCCCCCCCAGTGGGTGAGAATGATGGTTAAAGGGGTGAGAGTTAAACCACCCTCAGAATGAATTACAAGCTACTGTCTGCTGGTGCGGCAGTCCACATGAATGAGGACAACAGAGTGCTGCAAGGATGACGTGTTTTTGGTGGAAGTTAGCGTCAGCTTGGTTCCCTCTACAAACCAATGGGAGTTATCCATTTTATTTTTGGATTATTGCAGAAAAAAGTTCTGCGGCAAACAAACGATGATACTTGCACGTTTTGTTCAGCAAGATAATCTAAACTAGGGTTTAGAAAACAACATTGAAGCTGCCGGGCGGCAGCGACCGCTCTCTACACGTCACACTGAGTCTTCGACGACTGCAGTTTATTGCGTCGATCAGCTGTGAGGCCATTTTACCTCTGTAAAATACTACAGAGGTAATACTGTACATTGGGCAAAGGTCAGTAATACCTCTAGCAGTCCAAACAGGTCTGGATCTGAACCCCTGTCTAGGGTCAGTGAAGAGAAGGTGGGACACTCGTTTCTAGTCTCTGTTTTCCAAGTCATTCGGTAAAGAAAAAACAAAAAATGTTGAGTTTGGTGATTGAAGTGGTTACTTGTCCGGTGTATAGTTTAAAACAAGAGTTAGTAAATATGGTTCTATAAGTTTTGGATGGCTGAAATGGACGTGTTCAACCCAATTACTTTATCTAGATGATAAGAAAAATTATTATTTTTAGCCAAACACTTTGATTTTGAAAATTACATATTTTTGCCCAAAGATCATTTAAAAATTGAAAATAGAAATTTTTTGTTGCGTGCACCAATGGGTTAAGCTAAGATTTCCTTGTTCAGACATCATTTCCTCACTGCGGCTCAAAAACAATGTTCTGCAGCCCCCGAAAAGAAAGCATCAAGCTGGAGCAGAGAAGCTCTCCCTGTTCTTTAAAGTGGACGAGTGTAACCCAATCAACATAATGATTGCGCCAGGAGGAGACCTACCTTTGGCTCTGTGGTCGGCTCCTCCTCCTTGACGCCGGGGATCACTTTGAAGGTAATGGCTCCTTGCGAATGGGCCTGAGTAATTGGGAGAGACAAGATAGATACACCGGCTTAGGTACAAATGGAGGGGGGGGGGTGGAAACACAAGTTGTCTGTCCAGCACCTAATCCAATGAAAGTCAGATATGTCAGAGCACTGTTTGATTTTTCAACAATGGAAGAGTTATTAGGATTGGATGACTCTGCTTGGTCGGAATATAGTGAGTGTGTGATTGTGTGTGTGTGTGTGTGGGGGGGGGGAGAAACGGAGTGTTGAAAGCTTTCATCAGCTCCGGAGGCCTTTGTGTCTACGAACGCCTCCAGAGTTTATGAGACTCTCTCTTTCCTCTCCAGTTGCCCTCCCACACCGCCCCTGCCGTGGTTCAGGCCCACGGCGGAGCGTATTCGAGGCCTGCGGCGGAGCCTGCTCAGAGGAAACTACTAAGCATCAATGTCATCCAGAGGGAACCGTGTGGCTCGATGCATGTGGTCTAAAGGCAGAGGAAAGGCTTGTAGAGAAAGGCTTTGGTTTTTCAGCGCTGCGACGGGAGGCACGTGGTCCTGGGTGAGTTAGAAGGAGGTATGTTTGCCATCACAAACAAGGAATGTTATTTTCGCCAAGGGACTGGAGCTGAAAAACATGGAGAAACTCTTGGACAGCACACACACACATGGGGCCGAATGCAGTCACACACACACACAAACGTACGATTGCTTACCAGAATACGAATGATCTCCTCTGGTTTCTTGTCGTCCACAGGGATTCCATTGACCTCCTTCAGCGCATCCCCGACGTGAATCAGCCCTGTCACACACAAGCACACGGTTTACGCATCCACAATCATTTATTCTAATGTCCTAATATAAGTGAGCTACTGTGTAGAAGTCCGGCGCTCACAAAGAGCCCGGGGATGTGTACAGTACACCAGATTACTGTTTATCTTCGCGGTGGCATTTGAGATTGGGAAAAAATCAAAGCTTTATTGTCCGCACATGTGGAAATTTGCCTTTGGCGTCGCTGTGGCAGAGCGGAATAACAGACTGGACACAATGAACAGAAAACGAAACAGAAAACATGTGGACAGCAAAGCAGAGCGCCGAAGTGTTCTCGTCATTAACGGGCATATTTACAAAGAGGAAAAGGACAAGTTGCGGGACGGAGCTGGCGTGAGGATAACTCCCGATCACGTGCCTGCTTTGTTACACGCTGGGTGTAATCCCGTTTGTGATGTAAATATGCAGATACACGTACAAATGTTTCGACAAAAATGCATAGAACTGACCGCTTCTGTCGGCTGCTCCTCCTCTCATGATGCGGGCCACGACGATGGCCCCCGTGTGATCGTCACGCCTTATCGTCGCTCCCTGCAAAGCCATCACAGAGAATAACATGAAACTTGGATAAACTGCACCGGTTTTCCACTCTGCTTAGAGCTGCATTGTTCAAATGTCACATGATCAGAGCCCAAAATGAGGTATCTGGCTGAAATTCAAGGATGTAAACTACATACAAGATGCTCATTGTTACCAAAATGGCTGATTTATGCTTACTTTTCCAGAAAAAAAAAAAAATGGATTTTAAGTGACCAATCTATGGTGTCTTATTTACAGGGATGCACTCTTTCCAGGTGTGTTTTTAAAGGTGAAAGCAGTTTGTTTTTGTTCAGTTGACACACTTCCCTATTGATTAAAAATAATGTGGATCTTTGCACCTCCCAGATAATATCTGTTGTGAAAACAAAGAGGGTACATATGCTAAGTACGGCCAAACACAATGACATGGCATTTCCACTTCCCTGCTATGACATATATGCTTGTGAAACTGGTTTTTGGGGCGGGACACAACACGGCGAGAGATCATTTTAATGCGTAAACCAATGGAATATCAGTACAGGGGAGAAAAGATAAAAGATCTATATTTTGCATACATAGAAGAAGCATGCCAGATAAAATGATCCAACGATCTCATTGAATGATGTAAGGGGAAGGGGTTTGTCACGGATGAATCACTCTGTCGCTGCAGTGGTAGCGGCAGAAAGCATCAATGGCCTGGACAGAGATGGTTGAGGGCAGAGCAGATGCGAGGCTGCGGACTCACACACACACACACACACACGCACACACAGTTGCTCAAGCGTTCCCCGTCCTGCTTTATGGGCTTGGTGCTCAGCCAGAAAGAAACACGGAGTAGAGGATGGGGTTTCGACTTCCTCATTTGAAATGACAGTGGTGATGCATTTTCCAGTAAACCCAAACAGCCTCTTCCCTTCACAATAAAACAATAGGCTTAATGGGTGCCAACCTGTCACGGCCCCTCGCACGGACACCATTGAGGCACCAGCCTGGCTGGATGGAACAGGATAGCGAACTGCAAACCCGGCATCATCCTCGCTCGGGCCCCGACGACCAGAACCAGACAGACGCACGTCTAGCCGACGCACGGTTTGCCGGGGCTGCAACTCATTCTTCCACCCTTCTCTAGCTGCTGTTCCCATCATCACGGAAGATTGTTTTTATTACTGTTGCAAAAAACAAAAAAGAAAGAAAATCGGCCGTGCTTTATTTCAGCTGTCCTAATCCATTGCTGCCCAGGTGGACCGCTGGAGTGCAACAACAAGCTCGCCATGTGTCATGCGGCTCCGGTTTGTGTCATTTTCATGTTTGCCTTCCTGCGACAGGCCCGAAGTAGTTCTGGCTACTACCAACGATGGGAAGCACAGGAGGAGATATACAAAATAACAAAAACCCTCAAAGACCAAAGAAGCTTCTGGTTTGTGCCACTTCGCTTGATGCCATTAGCACGTCATCTTGGTTGTTTTCACGACCTGTTCACACCTAATGGTTTTCCTTCTAGGTAATGGTTTCCTCAAAGACTTCTTCGGGTGTGGAGATTGGGAAGGACACCGGGATAAGACAGCGGTTTGGTCTGCGGGGAGCTGCGGACCTAATAGAATAATGGGGCTAATTAAAGAAACCCGAGAGGTTGCAGTCGGAGAGAAATCGGTGGAGCGCGTCAGTGAGAGGGGAAGGCACTGTCAGACCCCGGTGTCAGGGTCGCATATAACCTCTCAGTGTGACTTAAAGCAGCTGTATGTGATGCAATGACCCCCAGACAGACGGAGAGGCCTTTGGTGTGTGTGTGTGTGTGTGTGTGTCTGAAAGAATAGAGCGCTGCAGGGAAAGAGACGGACAGGGTGAGATGGGGAGTCTGCAGGAACTCTCGCAGGAGTATTCAGACATGTGGTCATTAACTTTCTCTCTCCGCTTTTGCTTTCTGACTCTCCTTTCTTTGGAGCTGGCTGATGGCCAGTGGTGTGATGGATGTTTTTATTGTGTCCCCTGGGGTCCCTGGTGGCAGTCTAAAGGCGAACTACACAGCAACAAAAAAAAAAAAGAAAAGAAAGAGAGAAAGAGAAAGAGAGAAAGAGAAAGAGAGAGAGAAAGAGAGCCTTGGACTCAGTTTGTAAGGACAACAGGCTGTCTGCATAAACTGCCTATCTATGGAATCTGCTCACACATGGTGCGTAGATATAAGTCGTGTTTTGAGACATATGGCTTGAATCACACGCTGAAACCCCGATGCCATTTAGAAACACCACTTTTAAGACTTTTACTGCTAGTGGCAGTGGTGATTATAGAGCAGCACATTTGGCATGCAAACACGAACGGATGGGGTCGCGAACCCAGATCTCTTGCGGAAAGCAAGGAGACCATTTCGTCCCCATTGAAACCACCACGTTTTATGTGTTTTCACAGCAGAAAAGAAACAAACTTTGGGCGTCAGTGGACAAATTTGCCCATTCTCATTTTCCTTTCACACCTCACTGATTCTCCGCAAGGAGCTATTTGAAGCAGACGTTTTCGACGCGATTCTCATCTGACCCACTACCCTTCAACGTGATGGGAATTCACGGGCAGGCCAAGCCAGCATCGAGGGAGTTATGAAGGGAGGGGGAGCCTCCCTCTTCATCTGGCCAGCCCCAGCCTGAACTCAGCCCCCGGTACGGTAGCCAAATGAGCTCCGTCTGATAAGAAAAGCTGAGAGAAGCCAAAGCGCTCCAGTGGCAACACGAGCGAGCCAGACCGGAGGATAAGTGGAAGACCAGAAGAGAGCCAGGACTTGACAAGTTGACTGGGAGGGAAGGGAAGGAGGTAGACACTGAGGGTCGGAGTTGAGAGGAAGAGTGAATGAATGAGAAGAAAGTGATATGATGAGGGAGCAAGATACCGAAATACCGAATGAGAGAGCAAGAAAACACAAGAATATTGGTCATGGAGAGAGAATTTCACTGGAGCCAATACCCACCTCAACAAGTCCTTTACCCTCCTATTCCATATGTAGGAATGTTTTTTCATCTGTACAAGTGCATGTCTAAGCAGTAGATTTACTTGACATTATAAGTCAATGGAAAAACCAATAACAACATGAAGATGAGTGCTTTTGTAGTATTGCAGTACTGCAATTTTACACAGACAGCATCTTTGCTTTTTGAAGGCTGCCTCTCTGGGATCAACCAATCATTGACGCATTGTTGTTGAGATTTGGGAGATGTGAGCGTCGGCGCCTCTCCGACCTATGTTACCTAGACCAACCTTCGTTACATAAGCTCACAGAGACATTTAGATTCGTCTTCCCAGAAGCGTGGTATTATGTATAAGATGGCAGCAGGAAGTTGAGGTTCAAATCGACCACAAACGATTGTAATCATCACCTCAAATATTCACGTTTTTTTCTCTTGCCATTCCAAAGTTCTGCGGTACCCCATTCTTCCTGATCCTTGATTATGTCGGGAGCGCCACACTTAACCCTCCACCTCATTCCAATCTACAGTCGGCCTTCGTTCTCTCAATCCTCCAGGGGAACACCAGCCTCTCCTGGAGGCCTGACGAATGCCTTAGAAGCACTGAGAGGCAGCAGGGGGGGGGGCACGAATCCAACAACCTGAACTCGGCATCACCTCCCCCTGTGCGTTGATACCCTATGGGTGCTATCATCAGCATCCAGCCAAGCATGGACACTAATGAGGAGTCCCTGCTCTGTTAAACAAATACATAAACAGTCAGGCTAGAACCTAAATAAGATGCATGGTGTGTGTGTGTGTGTGTGTGTGTGTGGGAGGGGGTCACACACAAGGAAGAAACAAGGTAAAGACCCTCAAGCACCAAGATGGGCTTCCTGGCATAGCAGCTGAGCATTAGCACGAACTGATGGCTGGGTTTGCACCAAGCACCTCAATGCCTGCTGGCACATGGAAGCCATTTCAGACTTTTCCCTCGCACACTGGAAACAGTGCAGGAAGTCCGAAAGGGGGTGAAACGTCTGCGTCTGTCAAAGCACACGCGCGCATGAGTGACAGCGTGTTTAGGTGTGTTTTCGTGTGCACGCGAGCGTGTCTGTGCGTGCGTTCTTACGAGAGCTTCCACCTGAAGTCTGGCCAAACAGGCCCAGGAGAAAACCCTCAAAAGACTGGATTGATGCTGGACAGTCGCTCAGCCTGATGAATGGGCTACGCTACGTTAGCAATTAGATACGAGGCACCACTTAACCATCGAGTGGCTGAAATGCGCGGACAAAGATAGCACGGCGCGCAACAGAGGCGATGTTGTCGACAGGGGCTGATTCTCTCTTCATTTTGTCAGCCATTGCTGCCGTTTGCACTTTAGATGGGCATAGGATCAGACACAAAAGAGGCAAGTCTCTCCAGAAGTGAAGCGTCCAAGGGCAGAAACACAAAGTCAAACATAGAGACGAGAGCGGGGGTCATCGTGGTCTGGGGAGGGCCTCCTAGCTGCGGTCAATTAGTCATCAGTAAGGCGATCCGAAGCCTCCACTCCTAACGTGATCAGCTCCATATGCAGCCGGCTGCTCCCAGCCCTGTTCCCCCGATTCTAACACATAAATGCCTCCGATTGTTATTGTTGGGCCGGCCAAAACGCAACGGCTTCGTCTCCGCCGTGCGATGAGGAGAACTGGAGCGACGCTCGTCCGTATCAAGCCATCGCCCCTCCCGGGCGCATGCACCGGAGCACACATGCCGACATGGCCGCCGCATTAAGTACGTGATGACAAATGGCTCACACCTCATACAGTGCCGACAACACTTTTTTTTTTTATAAAAGAGAGAAAACCGGGACCGAAATTTGGATCCCCTCATGTCTGAGACTGTGTTTATTACAGGGAATGGAGTGAAGGCAACGTTGTCCAGGGAACTGTCGGTGCACGGTAGTGCCATGAAACTTAAGCAGATAAGAGGGAGTAAGACAAGCTGGATGTCTCATCACGCTAGCTCGGCTGGGATTGGCTACAATGAGTTTCTGGCGAGCTAAGTCTTCACGGGGCAATTAGAGTGCCCTCTGGCTGATGG